CTCAACAACTGTTCATCTCAGTGGTGTGAAACTGCTTTTGCAATATGTTACCTACATTATCTTTCCAAAAGTGCAATCACATTTATCACAAAAGTTTAATGTCACAGGCACTTTAAGGCTCGTGGTCACATGTAGGTAAAAAATAACATAAAGCTTAAAAAGGCATCAGCGCTGAGCAGAACTAGCTGTTGTTTTATGAAGCGCAATTACCTGAATTAGCTGATTTCTGAGAAAAGAGCCGAAGGACACAATAAAAACCACCGGCGACGCTTCACATTTTAACAGTTCGGAGTCACTTAGTGAAATTATGGAGAGGATTTTCCTTTAACGTCCCGCGGAGTCGAGCCGGACGCCTCCCTGTGGGAGAGAAATGAATATTTTGGAGCTGCAGTGATCTTTAAAACATCACTGCAGGCCTCGGCGCTTGTCTCTTTAAATAATGGACCATTGGAAACTAAAAAAGAACAAGCTCAGACTCTAATGTATAAGTAATGTTCGACGTCTGTAGCTCCATGAATAATGAAACGACTCAATGTGTTTTTTTTTTATACATTTCAGGCGTGTGGAGTCAAATAATGTCCTTTGTGCAGGAAAACGCTGCCTGCAGCTGCAGCTCTGCTCGTTTTTCTCTAAAGTAAAGGTCACACAGGCTCACTTTAAGAAGATTAAATACACATTTCTCTGGCCTTCCTTAGATTTCATAACACTGTTTTATTTTAAACGAGGCGTTCATTTGGAATCAAAGCTTTGCTTTTAATTTTGGAGACGCAAAAGAAAAACGAGCCTAGAACAATTTAAGTGTCTCATGTTGGAGGATTTCTAAAGAAAAACCAAACCGATCACAGCTCTGATGAGATTTCTGTAAAAACGTGTGAACGACTTCCAGAGCTGAGAACAGAACTAATATAATGTTTATTTTAAGAGTTTCTCTCCCAGCAGCAGCTCAAACATCTATTTATGTTTACAGCAGCAGATATTTTCTGACAGTTTGACATTTTTATGTCAAATCATTAACAGTTATTTTTCTCCTCATTCTGTCACAATGTTTCCTTCTCTCCTCCCGACATTCAAAAATGACAAAATGTAGAAACTGAACGAGTTGGTGGCTGAATAAACCTTTCAGTCAGTTGTTTCAGATAAACACAACTGAAGCTCTTTTTGCTCAAGGACACAAAACTTCTCGTTGGAAACTAAAAAAAAAAAAAAATCAGAGGCTGGATCTCATCACAGCTGCCAGGAGCTTCAAACGTCCATGATGAAGAGAGGGAGAGTTTCTGTCTGGATGAAGAGCTGAGGCTCAGAGGTCCGGTCTCTCTGGAACACATTTGTATTTTTCAGCTAAAACCCTACAGAACCCAACAATGTGAGGCTGAGTTAACAGAAATTAAGCCTCATAAAGTGGTAATAAAACCACTTGACCTCACCTGGAAATAGCTAAATTATAGACGCCTCATTTCCTCAAAAGGCAAATCATTTATATGACTTTGAGTCAGTTTTAAGTTCTATATCAGCTTTAAAAAAATAACAGGATATAAAATCAACAAAATTATCTTAAATAAACCTCAAAATATTATTAAAAATTTAATAAACCTATTAAATTTATACAATAAAACTAGTCTCAGCTCTTCTCTGGAACGGATAAATAGTCTGAAAYTGGACCTTAGAGGAAGAAGAGAACTGCACCTAAGATGGAGCCCTGAGGAACCCCAAACAGGATGAACTACAACAATTTTAGACTAAAACATGACTCTCAGCTACTACCACATCAAAATTTAGCTTTACATCTGCAAAGCTGGGTGAGCTATGAACATGTTTCTTTCTAAGATCAGCTGGCCGTGGCAGCCATCTTGAATTGTGTTGGATAAAATCATCCATTTGTTGATGACGTCCAATAATTAAATCTTAGTTTAGTTAAATTTGATCAAAGTTTTGTGGGATATTTGGTTACAAACAAGTCCAAAAACATGTTGGCCCTTTATCGGAGAGTGACAAAGAGCAGAGTGGGGATGATGTCAGAGAAAAACACGTTGTGTTTGTGTTTAAAATATTCAAACAAAAATTTATTCAAAGACTTCAACATTTTCAGACCGGAGGATCTGTCCTCATGAGGCTGATAGAACAGACTTCAGCAGGAAATTATTCGTGCTTTCCGGTATTTTCTGCTGTGAGATGAAACGTTCGCTCTCATTTTTAACTGTTGAGGCCGGTTGTTGCTTCACTCGGCAGCTCCAACCACCAGGAAATCAGAACGTTTAAAGCCGCCTGCAGCTCCAAACGCCTGATTCTCACCGTTTCCTGTTTCTTAATCACACGTCTGAATCTGAGGCACGGCAGCAAATAATAAAAATCATCAGCCTCAAGGCCGTCGTACGGTTTGTAAAACCTGTGTGGACTTTCTCTGGTAGTTTTACTGCAGTTCCTATGAGAAATGTTCCAACACGGTATTTTTATGTGCTGATAATTGAAGCTGGAGTTCAGTCAAGTGTGAAACATTTTATGAAAAGGAGAATTCAGCTTTCAGGACTTTTACAGCAGAAATTAATCTGTAATAGCTGAAAAAAGAAATAAATTTATATTTAATTCTCCTGAAGTTTTAAAGAAAGATCAGTTAATGATCAGACTCTGTGTTTGGTACGACTCTCAGCTACTACCACATACATTTAGTTCAGTATCTGTTTGATTGACTAAAAACAGATTATTTATTTATTTGTTTTGGCAGCCGTCTTGAATCCAAGCTGACTCCAAATGTTAACCAGTTTTACAGCCAATTATTAGTTTTAATTGAAACTGTGTAACCACCAATATAAACTGTCAGCTCGCCCACAGACCAAATAAAAATAAATCATGAAAATCTTTTAAAAAATAAACACAGTTTCTTTAGCCTCTGATAGTTTGAACATCTGGATAGAAAATAATCTTTATGAAGAGTTTCAGTCAGGGTTTAGAGCTCATCATAGCACAGAAACAGCACTGGTTAAAGTTACTAATGATATTCTCATGGTCTCAGACAGTGGACTTGTGTCCRTTCTTGTCCTGTCAGACAGTGGACTTGTGTCCATTCTTGTCCTGTCAGACAGTGGACTTGTGTCCRTTCTTGTCCTGTCAGACAGTGGACTTGTGTCCRTTCTTGTCCTGTCAGACAGTGGACTTGTGTCCATTCTTGTCCTGTCAGATCTCAGTGCTGCATTTGATACAATTGATCACAATATTTTATTACGTAGACTTGAACTTGATATTGGGATTACAGGAACAGCTCTAAAATGGTTTGAGTCTTATTTAACTGATAGATTTCAGTTTGTTAACGTTAATAATGAATCTTCTTCTTACACCAGAGTTAGTCATGGAGTTCCTCAGGGTTCAGTGCTTGGACCAATCCTCTTTACTTTATATATGCTTCCTTTAGGTAAAGTTATTAAACAGCATGGGATAAATTTCCATTGTTATGCTGATGATACTCAGTTATATTTATCCATGAAACCTGATGAATCCAACCAGTTACTTAAACTACAATCTTGTCTTAGAGAAATAAAATCTAGGGCTATATGAAAATATCAATACACTGAAAAATGGTGATATTTCATTTCATGATACTGTATCAATTCTCTAAAGCCCTGTTTTGATTTTTAATCAAGGTTTAAAATATAAACTTTCGTGCCAAAGGTTCATTTTTGTGTTGTAGTTGAGCCTCCGACCACTAGTTGGCAGCAGTCAGCTAAACATTTAGYTCCTCCCCTCCTGAGCAAACAATGAACAAGTAGCAAACAATCTCTGTAATGCTGTATTTGTTTACAGTTTAACTGGCTTCTTCGTATGTTTCACTGGACAATAAACAACATTATTTACAACAGACAGAGTTGATTGTAAGGTAAACAAAGATCACCTATGATCAATAAAACCATAATTAAT